TTTACTTAATATAGCTGATAAATAGTTAAAGCCAACTTTTAACTGAATTAAAAACTTGTAATAGATAAATGATTAAATCAAAAATTTTTTTTTATTAAATACGATATAATGATGATGCTTATCCACGAGAGACAAATGAATTTGCCTACCTCTGCTAACCCGTGAATGAGCCAGAGTGCCCACTCGGGTTCAAGCACTAAACCATATATTTACGTTCCTAGCATGAATAATTCTATTGGTTAACTATATAAAAAAAAAAATTTACAAACACCACTTCACTGACGCGAGCGGGATATGAAAACCAATTGTATAATTTTAGGTGGCCTAATAATTATAATGAATAAAAAGTTATAAATTCCATGTTTGTTGGGTTCCAAACATATTTCTCTGTTTTTCTTCTTCAGTTAACTCGTTTTCTGCAGCTATAACCAATAAAATAGGAATATAAGTTAATAAACATTATAAAATAATAATAGTAATTGATGCTGATACTGAAATTTTGGTCTCTATTTGAATATGTCAAAGCTGTAAAACCAACTTTTATTAACAATTCTAACCCTAATCTGATTCTTAAAAAAAAAACTTAATTCGTGATTCGCGAGTAATGGAAAGATTACTATATCAGATATATAGAAATAAAATTTTTATAATAAAATACACATAATCTGGAGCCAGAATGCAAATATCTCGATATCTGCCAAGTAAACATCCTTTAAGCTTCTAATGAAAGTTGTAGAGGTCTTTCCGGTTCAAATGGTGGTAAGATAATCAAAATCGGCTGGATAGATCATGAGATAAAAGCACACGATCGTATAAACTTTCTTTGCAAATCTGTAAAAAAAAATATATCATATGATTTTATATACAATCGCGAAGACTTAAATGCCCATATCTCACGATCTATTCAGCCAATTTTGATGACATTACCATCATTCGAACCGGAAAGACCTTTCATTAGAAGCTTAAAGGATGTTTACTTGACAGATATCGAGATATTTTCATTCTGGCTCCAGATTATGTGCATTATAGATTTTATTATGTTTAATATCCCATTTTTATACATAGTAATTCTCTCCATTACTCGCGAATTACTAATTAAGTCTATTTTAGTATCAGCCAATATCAGCATAATCGACATGACAAAAAATAAATTTAGATACTCGCATTCTAACAAAGGTAATAATTTTTTTTCATCAATAAATGGAAGGTTATTAATATTAAGTCTATTCGTGATGTTAGGATAAAATTCTTTAATTTCTGAATTATTCATAAGGTTCTAAATAGAATTATGGTATAGATTAAAAACTTTATGGTAATTTAATTAAATAAATTTAGATTTATATACCTGGTATGCCCGTGGTAAAAGCTCTTTACTTGTAGGAGGCAAAACAAACATTAAATGTTCGAAAGATTTATAATAGGCTTCATTATCAAAATTTTTTATTTCAAACATTTTCAAATCTCGCAAATCTGAAAATGAGATTTACTAGGTTATACACATATAAAATATTATTTATTACTCATACAAGAATTTACCTGATATTATTGGTGAATAATGTCCAGGGTAAAACCATCTATAAGATATTAATGTACCATCATAATAGGAAATCACCCATTGTAAACCTTCAATATATGATTTAATTAAAATTTCTCGATTTTGATTTCCATAATTATAGATAGATTTAGTTTCAGAAATGTTCAAATTCTTAAAAATCATTTTAAGCCTTTTTAAATTCAATTTTCCATTATCAATAATATAACCATCTGTAAATAAAATTATTTAAAGATTTAATAAAAAAATTTTTTAATAAAATTAATAATAACTTCTTACCGCAGTTTTTTAACACCTTATTATAAATAGAAATAATATCACCAAGTTCTTGAGATTTAATATTATTCAATGGCGGTATGAAATCATTGCCAACAAAAAGTGTCAATAATAGAAAATCTTTTATTATGTTTTCAATATCAAATTTAAAAGGTGGAAGAGGACCAATATTCCAAAGTTTCTTAAATTCTTTTTCTAACTCTTTACGTAAAGTTGGTAACGACATAATTTCGAACTCTTTTGATTTAAAACTGATTCTAAAAATTTATGGTGAAAAATATTAATTTACAGAAATTATTGTCGCGATTATAATGAAATCAGATTAAAATTCAATTTGGAGGGTCCCCTTTATAAAACCTATAAAACCCACTTAAATTATAGTTGCCATCCCAAACTATGTGATAATTAAGATCACATTGTTTTAACCATTTAATTTCTTATATAGTAGTTAAAACTATGTGATGCTAATTATCTTATAGTTTGGGATGTCCAAAATAGTTTGGACGGCAACTATAACTTAATTCTTTTATTAACAACCCCTAATCCTAAAAAAATGCACCCTAAAAATTATGAAAATTTCATTTTAATCTGTCATAATATAGAGAATTACTGGATGTGAAAAATAAAAGAGTATCTGGCATATTGGATTTTACTGCCAGATACGAAGGTAATTGGTGCTTTATTTGCATTAAATAACGGTATTATCCGGATCCTACAGCGATAGGGATTGCAAAAGACTATTTGTTTTTATTTGATAATTGTTTTTAATATAAAAAAGCAAATGCAAATAAACACAAGTAGTTTGCAATTCCTATCGTCGTAGAATGTAGGATAATTAAAATTACTAGAAATCAAACTTACCTATCACTACAAATTATTTTAAGATTTTTTTTATATTGTAGAAGCCCTAACAAAATTAAATCAGAATCTTTTCCATATATCCAGTGCTTTATACTATCAAATTTAGAATGACGAATATAGTCCATTATTTTATGCTCTCCTTCACCTGGCACTTCATGACCAGAGTATATAGTTTTTATGTCTTGCCAATCTTCACTTGTTTCTGATATTAAGAGTTCATATAACTTCTACTTATCTTCTATCTTTTCCTCTAATGAAGACTTGTTATATTTTTCTAATTCATCTTAGTATTTTCTCTTTTATTTTAGGCATATTTAAAGCTAGAGTTAGAGGTACAAAAAATTTTTTAGGCATACCTAGAAGAGCATATCTTTGTTGAGGGCATACCTCTCTATACCCTGAGTATGCCTTCTTGAGATATTATTATGAGCAGTTCTTTATTAATCTGCAAATTTTTAGATAGCAAAAGGTTTTTCACAGTTATTACTTAAGGTACCAGTTTATTTATCCGTAAACAAACAAAACCAAAATCAATAAAATCAAAAATAAAAGAAAAAAAAATGTTATTTCCAATAACAAAAACTAAAGAAACCAAAAATAATAAAGAAAAATTATAAAGAAACGAAGTGCAAGAGTTTGCCTAAGAGAAGACTAAAGATATTAAAATATTGTTTATTATTAAGAATTAGAGAGCAGTTATTATTTAAAGAAGTTATTATTATTTATCTTGCTTTAGAAACTATTATGATTTTAATTCTATATCATGTCGAGTCAAAAGAGAAAAAGGTCTTTATTTATAACCTTTAGTTGTTAAGGATTAGTAATCTGTGTTGGTGTTTGGGTATTTGAGTGGACTAATAGTTATTTTTAGCTACGGTGTTCGTGGTATTAAAGGTAGTGTTTATAGTGCTCTTCGTATAATATTAAAGTGATGCATATTACTAATTATTGATTAATAATATCTAGAAAATTCTAAAAGGTTCTAGAATATTTTGTAAGATTCTAGAAGTTGTCACATAATTCTAAAATATTTCAGGACATTCTAAAACATTCTATAACATTCTAGACTATTCTATAATTTTCTGTGTAATATAACTAAAAACTATGACTAATCATTATACAAAACTATTATAATAAAACTATACTAAAATACTATACTAAACAAATAATAAAATTCATCTATACTGCTATCAGCACTCTGTATAGGTAACAAATACAAAAACTAAACAAAATAAATAAAAACTTTAACAAATATACTATAAAAATACTAAATCAAATAACAAAACTAAAAAATAAAATAAAAGAAAAATAAAGAAATAGAAAATTATAGGTATGACAATATCATAATTAATTAATCTAACTTATATCAAATCAACTATAATAAATAATTAATTAAATCAATGAAACTTTATACGTAAGGTTTTTCTATATAAAAGAGTAGAAGCATGACTTTTAGCTAAAGGGTATGCTCTAGATATACCTCCTTAGGCATGCTTCTAAGATATGTCTTAAGATACTATACTTCCAACTCTATTTAGAGCACTCTCATCAAGATTTATAATCTATTTCTTTTAACTTTCCTAAGCTTTTGATACTTTTGCCTAGTAAATTTTCTTTTATTCTTTCTTGAAACTCTAATGCTTTATCTTTGTATATATCTTTTCTTGTATTCTATTTAAGCTTATTATTGTTATAAACAATTATGAATTTTGAACAATTAATCATATCCTTTTTATTTGAGAAATAAACTGTTATACTTCTCATTTTATTATTATTATTGTTTTTAAAGATATGTAAAGCTTTGGCTCCTATATATTTAACTTGTCTTTAGAAAAGGATTTCATTCATACCTTCTAATAAGTTAGTTATTCTTCTTATGAACTTATTATATTCTTTAAGCTTCTGTAAGTTATAAATTCCTGCAATAATTTTTACTAAATATTTGTCTATAAAAGATATATACTAAGAATTATTAAGCTCTTTTATATTTGCTAAGCCTAGTACAAAACTGATTTTAGCTCTTGTTTTATTTGATGATTCTCTTATTATTTCAATATAAGTAACTTTTTTTAAGTAGTATACTGATTCAAAAACTTAAATTTTTCTTACTTAGCTTAAAAGATCTCATACTATGAGTTAGTTGTTATTATTTGATAGATTATTTATTTTATTGGTTTTTTTTTTTTGTCTGTTTTGAGCTCTGTTTTCAGAAATATTTTTAGTAGTACCTGCATAAAATTTCTTTTTTCTTTACTCAAAAACTTCTTTTAGCTTTTTTTGTATATGTCTTTCTCTTTCAATTTTGTTATCATTTTCTTTGAATTTAATTGCTATCTTATCTTAAGTAGCTTCTTTGCAAGCTAGTTTCTTAGTTATTTTTTGTATTAGTTTGAGCTTCTTATATTCTTCTTTAGAATTTTCTAATCTAATTTAAGCTTCTTCAAATCCTTTCTCATAATTAAAGATAATTATACACTATTGATTTTCTTTAACAAACTTTTCTAAGATATCTTTTATATATATATTATCTCTAAGAAACTATTTTAATAATTTGTTTCTATGTTTTGTACTATCTTCTGAAATATTTATTACTACTATTTTTGTAGTTATATATTTTTTGTTTTTGCAGCTATCTTTCTTTAGTGCTTAGATACTTTCTTCTAGTATACTATTTCTATATTTTTTTATATTTGTCTTATCTATAAGTTGAAGCTTCTTACTTGTTTCACTATTATTATTTGCTGTCATATCTGTATTAGTAATTACTTTTTTTTTTTTTTTTTTTTTTTTTTTTTTTTTTTTTTTTTTTTTTTTTTTTCTATTTTCTTGGCTTTGTTTTTTTTTTATAGTTGTGGGTAATTTTTTTTTTGTG